AAGCGGTCAATCACAGGACTTCAGAGTCAAGCTAAGCCAAAGAAGGGACTGAGCTGTCCTAGGAATTTGAGTCATGCGAGACACATAGGACTAGAAGGCAGGTAAACTTCGTCATCTGAAGGCAGTCCCTAAAGTAGTGTCACATGGGTTTCACTACATACATCACCTAAATACTCACGTCTTTGCTTTCCCTATTCATGACTGATCACACACCATTCTGTAGCCTTCCGATCAATCAATGTAACGTTTCCAACCTTCTCTGATTTCTTCCATCAATGGATTAGCCAATAGATGGATGCATAGTTTAAATGGATTGGGGGTGGAGTATGAAAAAAGCTCTCCCTTTCGCTTCCTAACCTCGGTGAGGTGAAGCAAACCGTGCTTCAGTACGACAACATCCTTCCATGACTGTCAGCACAGAAACAAGGCCAAATGACCATAGACTAAAAAGTCTGAAGCCATGAACCCAAGTAAATCGATTTTCTTGGGTATTTTTTTCACAATAATAGCAAGATGACTTGACACTGCGGTTGGGGCTGTTGCTGTGATTATGAATGATGCAGTTTAGAACAGTTGTCAATCGTTCGGGGAAGCAGGCTAGAAACAGTGTACAACACTGTAAGTGAAACTTAACGGGTGATTCTGGAAGACCCGCAGAACACCAGACCGTTGATCGAACGTGAAGACCATGGTGAAGAGGTTGCAACTGAAAGTGAAGACTGCTTTGGCGACGGGACTAAAGGTCATTTATGCAACATTCTGGCATAGAACTTGTCTGCATTTTCCCCATTTTTTGCAACTGTATGTGAGGGGAGGCTTAAAAAAATGACCCACCAGTTAGCCCTTTGAAAGAAATTCCAAGGCATCTCTGCATCCAGGATGTGGTTTCAGTATTGCTGCTTGATCTCAGCTAGATTTACAGTAAGACTCAGGAAGAAAAAAAAATCAGAGGAAAGACTTGAGAAATTTGCTGTTTGACCACCAAAGAAAAGCCTATAGAGGCAGGCTGATGCCTGTGGGGACATTCAAGAGATTAGCATCACTAAAAATAATCCAAGCACGTTGTACCTGGACAGTTGGGAAGATAATGCCTTGAGGTGAATTCATGAATCTGGAATATCCATCCTTCATGGGCCCAAAGATGGGTAAATGCAACCCTTTCATTTGAGAAGAACATCCCTGGGTGTTCTGGTCCCACAGCTAAGAAATTATTTCCTCCATATTTCACTCCATCTTTAGTTATGAAATAACTGAAGAATCCACTGTAGCCATGGTGCAGTGGGGCTGTGGTGGCTACTGATCTTGCTATTAGCAGGACTTGATGTCATCCACATGGTACTGCCTTTTTCTTAGATGTGGAATGCAAACATCCCATTGAGATTTCAAAATAAAATCTAGAAAGGTGGACAGTTTGTATCATGGTTGAGGTTTTGTAAGCAGATCTTGAATGTCCTGAAGCTGTGAAAGTAAAGTCAAAGAAAAGCTAGTGGCACCAGGACAGCAGAGATGCCAGTGACATGGCACACCCATCAAAGGAAGCTGGAGATAGCAAGCCCAGCCTGCCCAAGAGGATGACCATAAGGTCTGCAGTCAGTATAGCTGTGGGGTGTCCTTCAGGGCTCATATCATAACATCATGTGCCTCGGATGGCAGACATGTCACTATAACACTCAGTGTTTGCCCTTCGAGTTTTCAGTCTTGGTTCGATCCTGCCTCATTGTTTTACAATTCTTCTTGTTGGGAGTAGGAGTGTTTCCCACGTACACTTGCATATCGGATGGATGCAACTTGTACTTCTTGAATTGTAAAGTTCATATCTAAGAATTTCCCTTGAGTCTCTGAAAAAAACTTTGGAACTTTGGCTTTTGCTCCCTGATGGAACTGGTAAAATACAAAGACTAATAAAGCTGGACTATTGCGTTCTGATGCCTTCTGCCTCGTGGATTGGCATGAGTCCTTGAGGCTAAGGGACACGGTTATAGTATGGATGTTAAATGTCCTACAAAAGCTCATTCATTGAGTACTTGGTCTCTAAGGAAGCAGTAATCTGAAATGGGCCTTTGAGAGGTCATTAGACCATGAAAGCAATTGCCCAAAGCTTTGAATTCACAGCTTCGTAGGTTTGGGGTGAGGGGCTGCATCATAAAAATGAGCTTTCTTTTTGTTTCCTCGATGCTGCATCTATCGCCATATTGTTCTGCCTTAACACACGCCTCCCTAAGTGCCCATGAATGGCAACCTCAAAAACCATGAGTCAAAATAAACCCTTCCTTTCCTTTTAGTTGATTGTCTCATGTATTTTGTCAGAATGACTAAACCTGACTAAGACATTCCTGCTTTCCTTTAGTGCACGAGATTCATTATTGCTACTCTCAGATAAAGAAAACACACACACACACACACACACACACACACACACACACACGTTTGTATGTATGCATGTATGTATATATATATATATATATATGTATGAATAGCAGTTTATTTATGATCTGAAGTATACCATTCTGCACCTGGGCCTCAAAGGTTATACTCATCTCACAACGCACTTAATATTTAATGTATACAAATAGACTTCTCACATTATTAAAGCTTACATATTTAAAGAGTCCACTCAAGATACAAAGAAGACATGAAACTTCAATGAACAGCAAATGTCCATGTGAAGTATATCTCTGTGCTTGTTGGCATAGAACTCATGTTAAAAGAATATGCCATGGATTTTATTGTCACTGTGGCTATATCAGAAACTATCTTTTGAAGCACAAACCCAAAATATAAACTAACCTTGAGAAAATCACTCCATTAGTGTAGCAGTATGGATTTTGAAATAAAGAAAATTTAAGGAAAGACAAAAATAAACTCATGGCAAAGGGGAGAGTTAGCAGAGGACAGAGCAGAGTACAAAAGACGTAGAAACGATGGGTCAATAATGTGCTGAGTACACTGCACCCACCCAAAAGGGAAGTCTGGATAAGGCCAAATTAGCCTACCCAAAATAGATATCCTCCTCTTCCCTTTTCACCGCAAGCTCTCATGAGTGATAAGTAAAATATGTCCACGACATAAATTTTAAATACAAGGCTTTTTTGTGTGTATATTTCTTACTTTTATATTTTTGTGGTTTATTCATGCACATGCATTTACAAAGTCAGTTGATAACTGAATCCTTGCTTTATTGTTAAAACAAAGAGCTTGAAAGTCAGACATGGTGGCACACACAAGTAATCCCATCACTTGAAAGGTCAAGAAGGTTAATGTAGGCTAAGTGCAAGTCAGAACTACAGGGCAGGGCACTGGTTTTTGTTGCTCTCTTGGTTTCTTTTGTTCTAAGCACCCTCTCAAAAATAACTGTTATCTGCAAAGGTTTCCCTTATTACAGCAGTGTTTCCTGAACCATACAACTGATTATACATAAGGTATTTAAAATTCAGGTTACAGCTCGGGAGTTTGGGAATCTGGCCTAGCATGCTCAAAGCTCTGGATTTGATTCTCAGTGCCACAATGAAACCCCATGACAAACAGGACACCAAAACAAAAACCAAAATCTTAGGGAGGAGCCTTAGCTTATAGTGTCTGTTTCTTTATCAATAAACCAGAGATGATTTAACCCAGGTAAAATCCAGAAAGATTATGGTCATCAAAGGTTCCAATAGCCTTTCTCTGATGTCCTTGTAGAATGAACTTATCTATGTTCATTCTGTGTGGCCAGCCACTGTTGTCTCCTGCTCCTTTTCCAAATACCAGCCATCTGAATTTTGCTTTATTTTATTTTATTTATTTACTTTTTTTTTTCTGAGATAGGGTTTCTCTGTGTGGCCCCAGTTGTCCTGGAACTAACTCTGTAGACCAGGCTGGCCTTGAACGCACGGATCTGCTTGCCTCTGACTTTGCTAGGATTAAAGGCATACGCTACCACCGCCCTGCTGCTATCTGAAAACATTTGATTGTCCCAGTGAACAAGACAGATCATGTGCAGGCAGGCATCCAGTCACATGCAGCTTTGGTCTAGGGGTTTGATTGTTGACGTTTTATAATTGTAACTTGTTTATCTTCAATATGAAATGCTCAAGTTACATTCTAGTCTTTAAGTTAGTTATAATTTTAAAGATATCTGGCCCTCTTCCTTACTAATTAATAAAAACTTGGAATTCTAGCAAACTTCTATTTAGTTACCGTCTTTGAAAAGTTTCTTTGGTGCCCTTGGTAGCCTAAATGGTATTTGTTTTTCAGTTATTGCTCCCATGCCAGTTTCTGGGACTACAACCGAGCAAAAGAACGCACTGTTAATTACGAACATATTTAAGCTTTTGAAAACAATTTAATTGACAGTTAAAATGTACTGAAGCCTTGCTGCTCGTTACATATTTCTAAGAGAAAACTGTGATGTGCTGCGGGGAATCTGGGAACGGGAAGAGAAAAGATCAAGAAACACAAAAGTAAGGTGCAATGAATTGGTGCCACTACCTCAGAGCGGTCGCAGTCAATATCCTCCGTACAAAAATGATCCTCGGGACAAAATAATATCCAACAGCCACTTCTTATATCAGGGTTAGAGAAGGATATGTCAAACCTTGGTAATCCTCACACAGTTTGTCAATGTGCGACAAGCCAATCAAGTTCAAAGTCCAGAAATTGCAAAAGTTAAGGTAGCTGCAGGAGAGGGTGCAGGCTGGGGCACTCTTTTGTAAAAAGGGAGGGGGGGGGCAACAGGGTTGACTTAGCTTCCCTAGCAATGTTTAGTATCCTGCTCATCCAATTCCTTGGACACTTAGTGTCACCCAAGTTCTTGCATCAAGTCCTGTGGACAATGATTCTCAAAGCAAGGCAAGCTTTGGTCTTGTCCCACCTTTAGAGTGCCCTCTAGACCCAGGCTGCTGCTACGCTCTGAGCCAACAGGGAATTACTGGAAACTTAGGAGGCAGCAGGCAGCCTAGAAGAAAATCCTACCAGCCAGAGCACGTAGCGAAGGGAGAAGCCGGGAGGTAAGGATTACTTACAGTTTGTCGCCGAGGCTGGCAGGACCAAGACGAGGCACGCCAGCAGCACCCGACAGCGCACACTCAGGACCCTCATTGCTGAGCGGGCGGCCGGGGATCACGGCTGGTGCAGCAGGAGACCGAGCCAGCGCTCCGGCCCAGGGTAGGTGCGAGCCGGGGCTCAGCTCTCCCAGCTCTGCTGTGGCCCAGCCCGAGCGCGGGCGGGCGGAGCAGCCCCGGGGCGGAGGGGACCGCCCGCTCCCAGCCCCCAGCCCGGGAGGGGAAGCGATGACTGGGACATTTCCTGGAAGCTTTTCGCAGCTGGGGGGGTGGGGAGGGGGGAAGGCTCAGAGAGTGAGGTCGGAAGGCCTAGGAAAGCTTATCAGAGGTCCTTTGTCACTTTCCCAAGTTCTGCATTTACTTCTTTTCTCTAGAAAGTCAAGTTTTCCAATGGTAAAAAAAAAAAGACTCTCTCTCTCTCTCTCATTCTCTCTCTCCCACTCCCTTTTCCTCCCTCTCCCTCTCTATCCCTCTTTCCCTCTCTCGCCCTCCCTTTCTCCTTTCCTCCTTTCTTCTCTCCCTCTCCCTTCTCTCCTTATCCAGAGACTGTGTCAGCCAGGAGGATGTCAGGATGTCAACCTGAACTCAGAAGTCAATGTGGACTTTAGGAAGAAGACTGTGTAGAGCAGAAGTAACGGGAGGAAAAGAAAATGGAATGTTTGGATCGCCTATGGTGTGTTTCCTCCAAAGAGCTTGTTTTGGTATTAATGTATTACCACTCCGGTTTGGTTAAAGCCTGTGAATCGGGCTTTAAGTTGCTACTCTAAACTAAACTTCTTGGGGTCAAAGCAGAATACTTGGTCTGACCACTTGGTCTGACCACTGCTGTATAACTTTTGTTTTTGTTTTTGTTTTTCGAGACAGGGTTTCTCTGTGTAGCTTTGCGCCTTTCCTGGAACTCACTTGGTAGTCCAGGCTGGCCTCGAACTCACAGAGATCCGCCTGGCTCTGCCTCCCAAGTGCTGGGATTAAAGGCATGAGTCACCACCACCACGCCTTTTAAGAAAAGCGCTTACCCTTTTTAGCCCTGGTCATATCATCTGCAATACAGAGACAATAGAGTTTCATAGTGTTGATCTGAGACTTTCAATAGATCCTATGTGAAGCAATAAGGCCATGTCAAATAGTAGTACCCAATGCATATATATTATTGCTCATTTTCTGCCCAAATGAAACATCGCTTTTTTTTCTAGATGTGTGAATGAAACATACTAAGCAGAATCATATTTTAAGGATTATTTCCATATCTAGTTGTTCTTTTTTCTTCTTTTTCTTAATGATTTTGTGATCCAGCTGAGTGAAAGATAATGGATTTTGGAGTCAATTTCTCTGATAAAGGAGTGGCTTTGGGAATTACCATTCATTCAGCAGGGGGAAGGGAAACTCTTAAACCATACCAATCTGTGTTCTGTGCCTTGTTTAAGAATTAAATCAATGAATGATAGACTAACAGGAGAAAATAATATTTAATCCCATATATACAAGGGAATTCCATAAAATGATGAGATTCAAGGAGGCGGCCAGATGACTGAGACATATAACAACTTAAGCCGTAGAAATAGAGTTTGAGGCTTCCAGCAAAGGGGGTTGAGTTGGGGAGAAAACAGCTCAAGGAAAGACAAGGAGTAGAAATGTATGGTCAAAGGGGGGTTGCCTTATTGTCTTGGGGACAGCAAAACTCATCTCTGGAACTTGCTTTTTCTGGTATGATAGAAATTTTACTAATCAAAAATTCCTTTATAGGTGTAAATTTCTGTTGTAGCTTGGATCTTTTTAAAAAAATAACTTTCAAAAATATTTAATGTGTATGAACTTTGCCTGTGGGTGTGCACCCTGTGCCTGCAGGAGCCAGCAGAGGGCATCGGGTCCTCCTGGAACTGGAGTTTCAGAGGGTTCTGAGACAGGATGTGAGCAGAAGGAACAAAACCCAGGTCCTTTGGAAGAGCAGTAAGTGCTCAACCACTGCGCTATCTCTCCAGCCCCTAAAGCCCCAATCTTAGTTATCTTAGTTGTATCTCAAAAGCTCCTGTGATAAGACTTTGTCACCAGCCCGTGATGGCGTCGGTGGTAGAAACATTAGGACTTGACTGTTGGGGTTTTTTTTCTCTTTAGTCTTTTGGGTTGCCCACCATCCAGCTCACAAATAAATCACACACGGAGGCTTATTATTTCTTATGAATGCCCAGCCTTAGGTTGGCTTATTTCTAACCAGCTTTTCTTAGCTTATATTATCCCATCTACCTTTTGCCTCTGGGCTTTTCCTGTTCTCTTACTTCTGTAAATCTTATCTTACTCCATGGCTTGCAGTGTAGCTGGATGGCTGACCGACCCCTGGAGCCCTCCTCCTTCTCTGGCTACTTCTTTTTTTCACTCTTCCGTCTCTTTTCTTCTTTCTCCTCCCAGCTTTCCCCTTCTATATATCCTCTCTGCCTGCCAGCCGCACCTATCCTGTCTCCTGCCTCGCTATTGGCCGTTCAGTTCTTTATTAGACCATCCGGTGTTTTAGACAGGCACAGTAACACAGCTTCACAGAGTTAAACAAATGCAACATAAACAAAAATAACACACCTTAAAATAATATTCTACAATACTCGGCTTAATGGGATGTCATTTGGGGATGTGTTCCTCTCTCTCTCTCTCTCTCCACTTTCCTTAGAGAAAAGTAACCAAGTAACCTGTGACCACAAGGTAAGCAGCCTTTTCAGCCTCTTTCTTCCAGTCCAAGTGTTACCATGATGCATTATGCCATCATAATTGTGCCATTTATGTTATAGAACCTCTAAAATCATGAGTCAAAATACGTCAAAAATTTACATTGATCCTTGGGTAATTTTGTTGCTGTTTTTCTCATTAGGACAGAAGCTGACTGACACAATTTCCTTTCCAAATCACAGAACTCATACTTTATTGGAGGCAGCTCACTAAAAAGCCCACTACTTCTGCTCGATTTTGATTTGCTTTGGGTTTAATATGTCTCCAGTGCCACCAGCAGTCACTGAAAACAAAACTTGAGTTGGGACCACAGGTGATCTTCAACACCTACAGCTTCAGGACCCTCAGTTCAACACCTGCCACTCCTTTCGGGGAGGGTGAAACCCAGGCCTCCAGACACCCACTATCCCATGTCTTTCTCTGGCTTCTGTCATGATGCCTTTGTCTTTGCACAGGTCCACAGGAACTGCAGGCCAACATGGCCATGGCTGTGAAGATGGTAGGGCTCCTGTCCACATATTCAAGGAAAATTGTTTAAGTGAAATAGACATACATATATACGTTAAAGTAGTACATGTTGCTATATCATATCTAATCCCTTCAGTTTAATAGAATAAGAACCATCCAGCATGTCTGTGACCCCTCCCTTTAAAAAACGTTTCTCCTTTTTGGATCCTCTGACTCCATTAGATCTATGTATTTACCACTTTATTCTCATAAATATAAATCTAATCCCTTAGAACTCTTTGGATTACATTTAAAGAAGCTTTACACACTATATTTAATCTTTAGTATGTAAATGCACATATGCCACGGGTCTTCAATGAAAAGCTCCATTTGGTAATCTCTTCAGTAGGTGAGGACAATTTAAAGGACGTTGTCAACTTTGAGATCTCAAAGTTGGAAGAGGGAACCATTCCAAAATTAAAAAATCAACAGCATTCCATAAAGTATCCTCTCCAATTCAGACAACAACAGAGAGAGCCCGAGAAGGGCATGTTAAAGAAATAGAGGCATTTCAAGGAAATAGAAAAAGAAAAGAAAACAAAACAAAACCCAACCTTCTCCAGTTTCTTTGCTTGAAAGGGATTGACTTTCTAGTTTCAGAAATACATTGCAGTACCAGCGTAAATGCACAATGATTGGCTCCTTCACTGTAATGCCAAACTTGAAATTCTATCTGAAATCCTTAATAAGGAAATTGGAGAATACATCTCTGGATGAAATATGTGGGTTTAAAACTTAGAAGTTCACTCCAGTTTTAATTCAATATTAGATCTGGTTGGGCTAATTAACACTTGGGCTAATATTATACAGCTGAAATTTGATTTAGATATATTTCCTTATATACAAACAAAACTTGTCCAAACTTTAATTTCTAATCTAATCCTGTTTCCATATCAAATTATACAATGTTTCTGTATCATCTTTTATTAATAAAACAGCTAATACATTCATTAATCATGCTTTTTATGTACTATTTTTTTCTGAAAAATATAATTTATGAGGACAGGATTTTTTTTTTTGATGTTTGATTTACAGCTTTGTTTCCAGTGCCTAGAACAATGAGTAGTTCATAGACATTCAAATGAACAGTTTGAGCCAGGGAATATATATGGCAGTATGAATGGTGAACATGAAGTGAATCTTGCTTTTTGGTTGTAGTTTTGGTTGCTTGATTGTTAGCAGTACTAAAGATCGAACTCCATGACTCATGCGTACTAGGGAACTGCTTTACCATTAGGCTATTGTGGTGATACTTTATTTGTGCTTTAATAAATAAAACTTGCCTGAAGATCAGAGGAATAGGAACAGCCATTATGAGTAAACAAAGAAGTCAGGCAACGGTTGCACAAGCCTTTAATCCCATCACCTGGCAGGCAGGAATCTATCTGGATCTCTGTGAGTTCAAGGCCACACTGGAAACAGTCAGGTGTGGTGGCACACACTTTAAATTCTAACAGTAGTTAACATGGGGGTCTGGAGAGCTGTACAGACAGACAGGAAGTGAAAGAGCTGGACAGGAAGAGGAAGTGACGTAGCTGGACAAAGAGCAAATCAGATGGCAGAACAGCAAGGTATATAGGCGTGGGTAGACTCGCCTTTGGAAGCTGCCGAGTTGGTGAGGTAAGGTTAGCTGTGGTTTTCCCTATTTCTCTGATGTCTCTCAGCTTTAACCCCTATATCTGGCTCTGTGTTTTTTTTTATTTCATAAAACAATTGAGAAATTCATCTACAGGCTATAGCCTCACCACCAGACATTTTTCTCTTCTTTCTTTCCTTTTTATTGATAGGATCTCACTATGCAGCCCTGGATGGCCTGGAACTCTCTATGTACACTGAGCTGACCTCAGATTCATAGAGATCAGCCCACCTCTGCTTCCTGGGTGCTGAGATTGAGGGAATGTGCCACCATACCCTGCTTAAGGGTCTTATTTAGGCTGACAGCAACAAGACTGTTTTGTTCACTCATATGGTAAAAGAGCCACAA